TTGTCCTAGACCTAAAAAAAAAAAAAAAAAAAAAAAAAGTATTGGAAAAAAACTCACAGGACAGCTCTGCCCCACACAATATTCCCCACTTCCACGTACACAGACCCTGTCCTGGAGCAGCTTTGACATCACAGTGATGAAGATTGTCTCACATTTCCGGATTCCTAAATGGTATTTTTCTGTCAGAAACAGACCCAGCCTGTGACCTTGCTGGTATTTGGTCTCGGTGTTTTCCTGAACAATCTATTGATCTTTGCAAGTTTTCCACCAGGGACTAAGAGGGTGGGGCTTCTGAGATGAGCACATTTCGGTCATGAATGCTCAAGTCACCCAGAGGCCAGAGGCAGCTGTGCTTGCGTGGATTCTCCCACAGTGGGACACACGGTCTACTCTGCCTAGCCCTGAAGGTCTTCCTGCCTGTTTTCAGCATCCTCAGTGCTAGGTGTAAACAGCAACAGCAAGCCCAGCTCAGCAGTGCTTGGAGGCCGTGCACACACAGCGGAGGCCATGCACACACAGTGGAGGCTGTGCACACGTAGCGGAGACTGTGCACACACACAGAGCCTGTGCATATGCACATGGAGAGTGTGCACACACACTGGAGGCCATGCACATGCAGTGGAGCATGCACATGCAGTGGAGGCCATGCACACGTAGTGAAGGCTATGCACACGCAGTGGAGCCATGCACGCATACACAGAGGCTATGCACACATAGGTGACCCTAGTGCTTCTGCCCCACACCTACTTCCCACCTCCCTTCCATCCTGTGGGCTAGCTCCTATGTGACCCAGACTGACCAACTGGTATTTCATCCCACCATCCCCATAGCAAGAGGTGTGAGCCCCAACTGCAGCCCTTCCTGGTGCACCCCGAGCCCTGCCAGGGGCACAGCACTGCACCCTTGACCCACCACCCCACAGAGCCATACCTTGTGAGTCAGGGCGGCATACAGCAGGTAGCCCGCCTGGGTGTGCACGAGCCCCTTGGGCGTCCCTGTGCTCCCCGAGGTGTAGAGCAGAAAGAGCATGTCCTCACTACCCATGCTCTCTGGGGCGCACACGGGGTCCTCCCTGGCCATTTCCTAGAAGGGAGAAGGAACAAGTAGCCCACCCAGGGCATTTGGCCTCTCCCTCTACTCACCTCCCTGAGAGCACACTCCCCCCGGCTGCACACGGCTCAGCAGCCTGGTCTGAGCTTGCCCTCTCCGGCCTGCCCAAGTTAGCTCCCCGTGTCGGGGACACAGAAGGGGGAGCTGCTGCACAGTGTGCAGGATGCTCATGGCACCTGAGCCCAACCTTCCCGACAGGATGCAAGCCCGTCAAACACTGCAGGGAACCCAGACTGAGAACCGGAACCCAGCAAACCATAGGCCCAGTGAACCTAGTAAGAGGCCCCCTCCTCAAACGCACCTGCTCGAGGGGCACATCCAGCTCCCCCATGTGGACCTTGTTGTCTGTCCTGTGAGCCACAAGGACACGCTGGATGGTCGGGCACTGTTTCACAGCTTCATCCACGATTTTCTTCAGCTCCACCACGCGCCCTCCCCGGAGTCCTTGGTTGAAAGTGATAACCACCTTGCACTTGGCTGAGGACAACACAGACATTCCAGTCAGCTCCTTCCCCACCATGCCCTCACTGCTTGACTCTCGGCCACACAGCCCTAGCCTCAGGGTGGGCCAGGCAAAGCCTAATCTTGAGGGAGCATCAGCAATGGAGGAGCTCCCTGCTTTGCGACCTTCGTGTGCTATGCAGAACGCCGGGCCTTTCCCAGTTCCGAGCCAAGAGGATAGAACAGGGATAGATCACTTTGCAGCCTGACTCTTCCTTGTTGGGGTAGTGGCACAAAGACAGTTTCCCAAGCAGACTGCCCCAATCTGCCCTGATCCCTGCCCAGGACGGGGGCTGCTATGCCACCCACAGCAACTGTGACAGCAGAGTGACACCAGAAAGATGCCGAGAACTCCAGGTAGCCACAGCGGGACCCCAATGCTGCCACATGGCGGGGCCTCACCCAGGACTTGTGTGGGCCAGGAACCTTTGCTGTCCAGAGAACAGAGACCACTGCCCATCCTGTAGATGTAGCTCTTGCCCGCCCCCTCCAAGGGAAACCCTCCTGGCTCACATCTGCTCTGCAATAACCCAGCCAGGCTCGGCCTAAGCCAGGGAACCTCAGCTTTCGTGGTCGACATGGAGTGAGGTCCATAACATGAAATGAAGGACATGCACACAGGTCGAGGGCTTCAGGCAGAAGACCTGATGCAGGACAGCCCGGGGAGGTGCAGGTACCCTAGGGTGTCGTATAGTCAGCCCCAAGGCTACCACTCTGCCTTGTGTCTTCTGCCTCTAGTCAGAATTTTTCTGCATTTAAGGGCTTGTGTGATGAGACTGGGCCCACCTGGACCACCCATGACCATCTCCTGATTTTAAAGGCCGTCCCCAGCCAGTCTTGGTGGCTTAGTCAGTAGCACGCTGAAATGCAGTGCGGGACACCTGGCTGTGCATGTAGGATCCCTGCCTGGTCCACTGAAATGCACAGGACACATGCGCACACGCCCAGGTAATACTGAGCAAGGGGGCTGGGAAGGGGCTTGCAGTATGACGAGATCCTGTAGAGGGTGCGTCCTTCTCCCTCTGTCCGTCTGTCCCTGTCAGGCATGTGCATGTACTCTCCATCATGAATGATATTAATAAACATAAAAAAATAAGATCCATCACCTTACTCAGACCTGCAAAGTCCTTTGGCCGTAGAAGGTCACATAATCTCAGACTCCGGGGTTGCGGTAGGGTCGTCTGTGACGGTCATTATTCTGCCCCACAGCCTCTCTCAAACCCACTGTCCTGACCTCCATTTCTCATGACAAGAGAAGAAGGAGGAGCGCTCAGAGTCTGGGATCCAGGCCAAGGGGCTGGTCTCTGGGGCACTGTGTGCAGAGGCAGCCGTGCTCACAGCAAGCCCTGAGGTCATGCTCGCAAACACACCAGCTCTCCCAGGGCAGACTGGAGACCACTACAAACTCAGCCCTGGTCCCACGGAGAAATGTGACTGAGTTCCCCTCCCCTCAAATCTGGTTTGACCAATGTGGTGTAAAAATGACCCTACGTGTATTCCAGGTCTGGCCTTTGGGACAAATAGCACTTTCCAGTTCTTTCCTCTTGGAGCCTTGAGCCATGAGGTGACGAGTCGGACCACCTTGGATTGCCATGCTGCTGGGAAACCCAAGTTTGCCACATGGAGAAGCCACCGTGGGAACGCCACCCAATCTTTGAGTCAACTAAGCTGATGCCCAGACATTTCATAGAGAATAGTCATTCCAATATGTCAGTCTGATTCCTGCCCCCACAGGATCATAAAATAAGATAATAAAATTTGTCGTGCACAGCTGTTGTTTTTAGCACTAAGTTTTGGGTCATTTTCTACACAGTGATAGGTAACTCAAACACCCAGTCACCCACCCCTACTGACATGGAGGACACAGGCACCCATCTCAGCGATCTAGTTCCCAGGGACCTGACTCCTGACGAACAAGACCGAGGATGAAGGCTGCTGGGACAGAGCTCTGCTAATGGCAAAATCCTAGGGGAAAGCTGCAGGGTTCCCTGCTCAGGCCCTCAGGGCTGACCTGGCCCTTCCCCTCCTGTGGCCTGGTTGCTTAGGAGTCCTGAGGTCCTAAGAGTTGTCCCAGGATTGAGCTCCTAAATTCCCATATGCTTAAACCACCCCATCAACTGTTGCTTCTTGTTTTTAAAAACAAAAAACAAAAAAACAAGAACAAAAACAAACCTTAACAGAAACACCTGGAAGCCATGGCCACACCAGCAAAAGAGGAGAAGGACAACCTATTGCAATAGGAGCCCTGGTGGCAGAATACCTACATTCAAATCTCGGCTCTCCTGTTTTCTAGCTGTGTGACCATGGGCAAGTTATCTAACCTCTCTGTGCCTCAGTTTTCTTATATTTAAAAAGGGAATAGTAATCTCCCAACAAAGAAAATATCACTAGATAACTCCACTGGTGAATTCAACAAAACATTGAAAGAACAATTAACACCAATCCTTCTCAGACCCTTGAAGAGAGTGGAATACTTTCAGATTCATTCTATGAGGTCAGCATTATCCTGATACTAAAGACAAAGATACCACAAGTAAAGAAAACCATATATTAATATCCCTTATGAACACTGATACAAAAGTCCTCAATAAAATGCTAACAAGTGTATCCAACAATTTGCTCTATTAACAGGATTATACAGCATAACCAAGTGGGATTTACCTAAGGAAGATAAGGATGGTTCAATATGCAAAACTCAATCAAAGTAACAAACCACTCTAATAGAATAAAGGGGGGAAAATATGTCTGAATTGATCAAGCAAAGCATTTGACAAAATTCAATGCTCTTTCATGACTAAAACAAAACAAAACAAAACAAACAAACAAAAAACACTTAAATAAAAGACAACTTAACCAGATAAAGGGCATCTAAGAAAATCCACAGCTAACATCATTCTCCATGGTGAAAGACTAAAGCTTCCCCAAAGATCAGGAACAAAATAAGGGCACTTGCTTTTACTACTGCAATTCAACACTGTAATAAAAGTTCTAGTCAGAATGATTAGGCAAGAAAAAGAAATTAAAGGCAACCATACTGAAAAGGAAGAGAAAAAGCTATCTTTACTTAGAGATTACATGATTTTATATATAGAAAATACTAAGGAATCCACCCAAAAATCCTATACAGTCTAATAAATGAATCAGTACATTTGCAGGATACATGATCACCATGCAAAAAATAATTGTATTTGTATACACTAGCAATAAACAATCTGCAAAGGAAATTAAGAAAGCAATGAGATTTTAAAGGCTTCAAAACATAAGATATTTAAGAATAAATTTAACCAAGGACATGAAGGATGTGTACGCTGAACACTACAAACCACTGGAGGGGAAAAAAAGAGCTTAAGCCCTAAATAAATGGAAAGATATCCCATATTCATAGATTTGTATTTTTTTTTTTCGGGGGGAGAGGTTTTTGCTATAAGGTGCATGCACTCACAAGAAAGAGAGACAGAAACAGAAAGTGAAAAATCACCCCCCAGGAGGGATGGCCATGCCGCAATCCCTTCTCCTCCATTCTCCTTTTGTGATCTTAGGCATGCATGCACAAGTGCCCCGCGTGAGTTTAAGCCACCAGGTCCAGGACTTGAACCGCAGTCAACTACATGGGAGTCCAGTAACAGTCATTATGCCAACTGCTGGTCCCCATAGATTTCTATTGTTAATATGGCAATACTCTAATTTTCCCCACAGATTCAATGCAATCTCTATCAAAATCCCAACAGCCTTCTTTTTAAATATATTTATTAACTTTCATTTATTATTATTTTTTAGAGGTTTTTGCTATAGGGCGCATGTGCTCACCAGAAAGATAGAGAGAGATGGAGAGACAGAAAGTGAGAAATAAACCCCCAGGGAGATGGCCACACTGCAATCCCTTCTCCTCCATTGTCCTCTTGGGATCTTGGGCACACACACACATGTGCCCAGTGTGAGTTTAATCCACTGGGTCCAGGACTTGAACCGTGGTTGATTACATGGGAGTCCAGTGACAAAGCCATTATGCCAACTGCTGGTCCCCATTATTTTTTAATTTGACATGAGGGAGATGCAGAAAGAGAAAGGGAAAGTGAGAAAGCAAGCCACCAGGTCCAGAGTCAAACAGTGGTCAGCCATGTGGGAGTCCAGTGCCTAACTATGATGCCACCTGCTGGTCCCCCAACCGTACAGAAATAAGAAAGTTGTCCTAAAATTTATATGAAAATGCAAGAGACCAAAAATAGCCGAAACAATCTTGAAGCAGGAGAACAAAGTAGGAAGACTTAAGCCTCTTGATTTCAAAACTTACAACAAAGCTACAGTATCAAAATCGTTAGTTATCCAGATAAGGATAGACATATAGATCAATGGAATAGAATAGTGAATCCAGAAATAAGTCCTCACATACATGGTCAAATTGCTTTTGACAAAGATGCCAAGACCACTCAATGGGGGAAAGAATAGTCTCTTCAACAAATGGCACTGGGACCACTGAATATTCCTAGGAAAAAGAATGAAGTCTGACTCTTACCTCATGCCTTGCATAAAAATTAACCTCAAATGGACCAAAGACCTAAAATGCAAAAGCTACAACTATAAAATCCATAGAATAAAGTATAAGGGCAAAGTTTCACAATGCTCTATTTGGGAATGGTGTCTTAAATAATAAAGCAAAATCATAAGCAACAGAAGGAAAAAACAGGCATATTGGTCTTCATCAAAATTAAAACATGTGTGCACTAAAGACACTATTGAGAAAGTGAAAAGACAACCTACGAAATGAAAGACAACATTTGCAAATATAGCTGATAAAAACATAATATCCAGAATATTAGAGAGATGCAAATCAATACAACTTTATTCTCACAATGAAGACTATAATCTTTTCAAAAGAAAATAATAAATGGTGGTGAAGATGTAGGAAAAACTGAAGTCCTCATACATTACTGATGGGATTATAACATGGTGCAGCTCCTTCAGAACAGTTTTGCAGTTCCTAAATCAGTTGAATTTGGTATTACCATATAAGCCAGCAATTCCACTCCTAGATCTATACCAAAAAAAAATCAAAAGCAGGTGTTTTGGTACATGAACATTCATAGTAGTTCTATTCACAATAGCCAATTAGTGGAAACAACTCAAATGTCTATTAACTGATGAATGGATGAGGAAAATGTGGTATATCCATATGGTTAAATATTTAGCTCTAAAAAGAAATGAAGTACTCATAAGTGTTGCAATATGGATGAACCTTAAAAACCTTAGGCTTGGTGCTGTAGCACAGTGGTTAAGCCCTGTGCATCAGGAACTAGGTCCCACACAGACAACCGCGCTTCAAATCCTGGCCCCGGCAGCTTGAAAGACATGCCAAGCACATGTGCAAATATTCCCAATATCTTCATGGGAAGGAGAAATGGAGGAAGGGCCGCAGTATCACCATGCCTGATTAGGAGGTATCCCCCACCCCAATCTCTCTGGCAAAGCACATATACCCTCTGGCAATAAAAAGTATATTAAAGTTTTTTAATCTTATGCTTAGTTTAAAAAAAAAAAAAAGCCAACAAGAAAGTCTACATGTATTGTTTCATTCATTCATATCCAGAATAGACAAACCATAGAAATCAGATCAGGGGCTGCCAGAGGCTGGTCAGAGGAGGGAGTGGGGAATGCCTGCTTGATGGGACTGATGAAAAGACTCTAGAACTCGAAAATGATGGTGACTGTACAATGCTGTGAATGCAATTATGCCACTAGACCACATACTTCAAAACGGTCCAAAGGTATCAAAGGAGAGAGGCCAGGTGGTGGTGCAGTGGTAACACGACCCACGTGGGAAAGGCTCTGTGTTCATGCCCCAGGAGCTCCCTGAGCACGCCGAGCATGCATACGCATGCCTGTGGTCTGGACCAGCTGAGCATGGGGGCGGATGGTGATATGAATCAGTCTTTCTTGTGGGGTGCCCCTCCATCCCTCTTTCTCATGGAAGAAAGATGAAACTTTAAGAAAAAGGGGGGGGGGGAATAGTACCAGTATTTTCTCACACAATATTTATGAGGACTACATTAAATTAGTTCAATTAAAGGAGACAATCTTTACAAACTGCTTGGAGCAGGACCTGACACATAGAGAAAGGGGAAGAAAAGGTGGAGGCAGTGCCGACCTCTGAACGTGGAGGGGAGACGTGGGAAGAGAGTGGGAAGGCTTCTCTGCTTTTCTAAGGGCACCAGGGTCTGAGAATTCAGCCCATGAGCGCTGTTCACCACCCACAGGTGAGTCTTCTGAGACAGAGCTCTTAACGGCCCCCACAACCTGGAGTCTTCCTTGGCATGCCGGCAAAAGGGATCCTCTAGAAGGATCGAAGATCAGACTCCATGGGCATGGGGGCACCACCCACTTGCCCCTCTGACAACAGCAAGGCAAGGAGACAGCACGCTCTGCACGACGTCCATGAGACTCTACTTCACCTGCGACGGAAAGTCTGAGAGACATTGCATGCCCCCTTTCCCTGACTCCAGGCCTCTGGACCTATGGGACTTCCCCCTGTATCTCTGGCCTCATCTCATCCTACACACTCACCTCCCGCACCACGCCCAGGCCAGCCTCCTCGGCTGGGCCCCTCTCCTCACTCAGCCCGCAGCTCTGCTATCTCCTGCCTGGAACTCATCTCTCCCTTCCTCACTTGGCTAGCTCCAGCATGCTCAGATCTCAGCTCACAGGACAAATGCTCCTCCAGTCACGTGCCCACCCTGCTAGCACTGTCATTTGATCATGTCATTTATTAATGCCTGTCTCCATTCTGCTCTCCAGGTCCCCAGGAACAAGGCCCTCCCTCCCCTGCCCACACGCTCACCATTATTGATCCTCCCAGCCAAGGATTCCGCACTAAAGCCAGCAAAGACAACTGTGTGGACAGCTCCAATCCTGGCACAGGCCAGCATCGCTGCCACAGCCAGCGGAGACACAGGCATGTAGATGGCCACGCGGTCTCCTCGCTGGACTCCATGCCTCTTCAGCGTGTTGGCCAGGCGGCAGGTGGTCTCCAGCAGTTCCCTGTGGCACAGGAAGAGAAGGCCGTCAGAGGTGGCAGGCAAGGGCCGAAACAGCACTGTGGGTGAAGCAGTCCTGCCAAGGGCGAGCCCTGTGTCCCTAGCCCGGCACAGGGAGGCCCGCAGGTGAGCTGCATGGTGAGAAAAGAACTAGCTCACAGCTGTGTAAGGCATGCGGCATGCCACTAAAATAGCCCACAGAGAGAAGCTATGGGTCTCAGCCACATCCCACACACTGGTCTAAATAAACAACTCCCCAACAACATACCTTAACAACTAAGTCCTGAACTACGTGGCACCAACCAGAAGCAACCCTGGGTACCACAAATGGCATGCTGTAGACCCCCATCCCACCCCACAGCAACGCTCCTGGCACATTGATGCGTGGAACAGCAGATGGCCAACCAAGGGCTTGCACTATGCTGTGGACCACCATAAGTTCTCAGGAGAGAGAAGCTCCTGTAACCCCTCCTTCTCCTCCATTTTCCTGGTAAAACTAACCCCTCTCAGAGACCATTCGACGGGGTGTGCATTCCAGGCAACTGGGATCTATGCTTGCCCTGATGCCTGCCACAGCCCTGACCCAAAGAAACTCATGCTTTCATATTTTGCCTCAGTTTCTTTCTTACTTTCTTTTCTTTTCTTTTTTTCTTTGTTGTTGTTGACCATAGAAAATCCTTTGCCACAAAGGACTGTTTCGTTTTGGGGTTTTTTAGAGGTTTTTGCCTTACGGCATGTGTGCTTACCCGAGAGAGAGAGAGAGAGAGAGAGAGTGAGAGGGAAAGTGAGAAATCACCCCCTGGGGGAGGGGCGGGATGACCACGCTGCAATCCCTTCTCCTCCATTCTCCTCTGGGATCTTGGGCATGCACACACATGCACCCAGCATGATTTTCAAGCCACTGGGTCCAGGACTTGAACAGCAATTAGCCATGTGCGAGTCCAGCTACAATAGACATAACCACTACACTATCTTCTGGCCCCAAAGAAATGTTTTTAACGTTCGTAGACTGGTATCGGCAGGGACTTGCTGCCATTCTGCAGCAAGGACACAGCTGAACTTGGTCCACTCAGCACCAGGCTTCTCAGAGGCGACAGGTGTCCAAAGCTAGACTGCCATGTTCCTGAGACTTCTGAAAACGCTTACCTCTCAGAGGACAGGTCTCTAAGTAAGACTTTCAGCAGGTTTCCTGAATCCGCACAGGCCAGTAACGGACTTGCTGTGCAGGGCCCCAGCTTCAAGTGAGACAGACCCCAAGTATGCAATCCCCATCCACAGTGAAGGGAGGGAAGGGGGGCAGCCACCCTCCCTGTAGCCTGTAGTTGGTAGGGACTGAGGTGGGCAGGGCACCTGCACCTGCTGCCCCACCACACCCACATGGGGTGGTACCAGCCTCTTCCACCACTCCTGGGCATTTCTGGAGGTGTGGCACCAATCAGAGGGCAGCATGTCCCGGGGCAGAGCTGGTTGACTTGGAATTGGCGCTTGACAGAACCAGCCCAGTCAGTTCACGGTGCTCAATTCTGACAAAACCTGGAGTAGTTGAGCGCTGACCTGCCTGGCATGGAGCGGAAAGTGGGGGAAGCAGAAGTGAGCCCAGGGTTCCCCTCCGGGTGGTTCCAGCACTCCAGTAACCAATCACTTTCCCATGTCTATACAGGACAGACCAAGAGGAGACACCAAGGCCCCTGCCCTCTGGGTTGGGCAGGCCACCACCAGCCACAGGGCTGCCCTCTGCACTGCTCTGAGGCCCCCAGGCAGCGCCGGCCTCGGCAAACAGGCCAGAGAGCAGACTCTCCTTCAGCCCCTGGTGCCTTACAAGCATAGCTCCCTGTTGTCAAAGGTCGCCAAGGAAAGGGCTCAGGAGAGCCGACAGCAACAAGAGGCCGCCCAGGAAACCAGCGCGGAATGAAAATGAGTGGCCCCCATCTCAGGCAGGGACCTCGAGGGGGCTTTGTTTCTCCCCAGAGCCATCCTGCAAAGGAGGCCAGACGAGGGCCAGCTCACGAGTCTGACCTGCAGTCCCCACCGCAGGGACTCCTACCCAGAGGGTTCCATCATTTCTCCATAAAGCTCTCAGGGGGACAAGGGTGCCATTCAGTGCACCCCACCCACCCTGGCCCAAGTATATGGTGAAAGGAGGAACAGCCCTGAGCACCCCAGTGCCAATCTCCATGGTCCAGGGCAGACACTCTGCCCCTGCCAGGAAGGAGGCTGCGATGCCCTGACTGCAACAGGGGCAGCTATGTCAGTCACTCAGAGTGTCACCCAATCTCCATCGCAAGCCCCCCATCATCGCGCTCTGAGGGCTCGGGCTCCGAGCAGTGCAGGGAGAAATGGAGTCTTGACTGTGCCCACCAAGCGCCTGATATTTGCTAGGTGGATAGACAGTAGGTAACACGAAACAGTGAGCCCGGAGAGTGGCCCACTCTGCAGGCACCCTGCAACCTGAGAGGGGGCAAGTAGGCTGTCACTTTGAGGTCACTAGGCATGAAAATGTCCCACCCTCTGAGAAGCAAATGGGAAGGACTCCCCCCTCTGATGAAACAGCCAAGGCCACTTTCCATTTCCCTCTGCCTGGGAGGGAAGTAAGCACAGGTAACTGAGTCACTGCTGAAGGTCCGAGACAGCCGCAGAGCACTCGGTAGGCTCAGTCTCCTCCCTCCTGCAAACCGTGTGCTGACGGGGAGGGGTCACCTCCACAGTCTCGATGCAGAGCCTGAAAGGACATTCCCACGCTGTCTCCGGAACTTGACATGTTCTTCAGCATAATTCCGGAGACAGAGGTAGTGAGAGAGGACTGGCTTTAAGGAAGGAGAGCCCCTTCTCACCTGGGAGGACATGGAGGGCCCAACAGTGGACAACTCCAGGATCGGGTCCCAGGAACCAGGCCTGGGTACAGATTCCTTCCCTCCAGCAGCTCCTCTGACCCCAGCGTCACGGCAGCCACTGAATCTAACTTAATGGTGCTGCTATTTGCTCACTTACTGCTGCTCACCACCAGTGAGAGCACAGATGCCTGGAAATGGGCCGAACAGGTTCCTAAACCAAATCTGAAGTCCTCACACTTCATTATTGGATTTTGTGACCATGACCATGACCTAGCAAAGAGACACTATAATGAAAATATAAAGCAGTAGCCACACTAAACCAGAGAAACCCAAAGCCGCCATCTGCCAAGGTACTATGGCTTGAGTGTGCTCCCCACCTCAGAACTCGTGTGTTGAAGTTTTGTTGTGCTGTGATGGTGTGAAGGGTGGAAGCTGGGCCAGCCTCACGGTCTAATGGGTCAGGGAGGCGGAGCCCACATGGCGGGCTGCAGTTTGAATTCCAGCCTCAGCAACTTAAAAAACATGCCTGCCCCAAATCCCAACAGGGTGGAGAAATGGAGGAGAAGGGATTGAAGCATGACCACATCCCACTGGAGGGTACACTCTCTCTATTCTCTCTCTCTCTCACGCTCTCTCTTTCTGTTCTCTCTCTCTCTCTCTCTCTCTCTTGTAAACATAAAAAACCCTCTAGAAATTTTTTTTTTAAAAGAGGGTGGAAAAAAATAAAAAGAGGGTGGAAGCTGAATCCAACTATGAGATTAAGAGGTGGGGCTTTGGGGAGTGATTAGGATCAAGGTCATCAGGGTGCGGCCCCCATACTTGAGGCCTGGTGGGTTTACGAGCAGAGAGAAAGAGACAGACACACAGACACAGGCTCTGCTCTTGCTCGGTCTTGCCACATGATGCCCTTGCACCTCAGGTCTCTGCAGAGTCTCTGCCAGCAAGAAGGCCGTCCCCAGCTGTGCCCCTTGGCCCAGGGCCTCCAAAACCATAAGCTAAATAAACCTCTGTTCTATAAACCACCCAGACTCAGGTGTTTCTGTCATTGCAGTACAACAGGCAGAATAGCAAGACAGGCTCAGACACAGCGAGGGCTCCCCAGAGATGAGAGCTGGGATGCCAGCAGGATACCAGCCCCCCAGCAAACTTGGGATCCCTGAACCCCCTGCAGAAAATCAGTGTGCTTTCCAGAGGGCTTTGCTATATTCTGGGGCAAGCACTTCACCTGGAGAGTTATCATTCAGGAGAGTGTCTTGCCGGAAGCAGAACACCGGTCAGAGACAAGGCTCCCACCCCAGCACCCCAACAGTCTGGGGCCTTGGCTACTCCAACTATAAAATGGCCTCACAGCAGGGGCCCTTACCAAGGTGGCTGTGAGGCCAACACAAAGCCCCAGGCACCTGTGACAGGCGTCCTATGACTACTGCTGCAAACGGCAGGATAAAGCATGGGAAAAGGAGGATTAGTGGACATTGCTGGCTCCTCCATAGAAGTACATGCCTTGAGAGCAGCCTGCTTGGGAGGGAGAGTAGGCAACCTGCTCATCACCCACATGTGGCACCCTGCCATTGCCGCAGCGTCCCACCTTCTCCTGCCATGCCTGCCTCACACCCTGAGCACAGGGAGCTTCCTGTCCAGGCCAGCCATGGCCACCCTCAAGATCCCTGTCTCCTGCCTCCTTGGCACTGAGGGCTGATCCCCTCCCTAGTCCCCTCTTGCCTTCCTCACTCCCATCCCCAACTCACGTTTTCTCCCATGGAATGACAACAGCAACAGCTGTGGAGCCAGTGTCCTGTACCGGGACTATTCCAGGACTGCCTGTGATCAGGTCACTGGAAAAGTCACGACGTATTTTTCTATGCAAAACTGTGTCATGACTTTCTGATGACACAATAATTAGCCTTTGAATAGAGTCAGTCTCAGATTCAAACCTTTGGTTCACTCTTCTTTTAAGTTTATTTATTTTTATTTCTTTCATGAAGGAGAGAGAGGGAGTCACCCCTGGCCGGTCTCATAACTTTCACATGGAAGAACCCATTCAAACCTTCACAACAGCCCCCAGGCTCCAAGCTGTCCCTCTTCTCTCCAGTTTCCAGAGAAGGAAACTGAGCCCAGAGAAGTCAGGATGCTCAACTGAGTCGAGGTGGAATTCAGACCCAGGCTAGACTCTCAG